ATAATAGATTGCAAGAAAGAGAATAAAACTGAAAGCCTATTAATGCTTACAATTGCACATAATGCGACTTTTGCCTATGAATATATTAGAAAGAGATACGATTTAAGATAGATCTTAGATTATAGTTCATACAGTATTAATTGAGATATCTATGATTATTTGATTCGTTGAAGTAAAACATAATAATTATTAGGGGCCTGCAAGCCCCTGAACCTTTAATTTTTAAAGAGGAATAATAATAATAATAATAAATATTATTTCCAAAATTCATAAAGAAGTCTCATTTGAAAGCTTACAGGCGAGATGAGTTTACTTTTTTTATCAACAATTTTTTTTATTGTCATTTTTTTCAATGATTTTTCTTTCTGTTGGATTATATTTATATTATATATTAATCGATTATCATATTATCATAGCATGAGTATTTCAACATTAAAATGATTCTATTAACATAATTTCATTACATTTATTATGTAAACTCTAAAAGTATTCATGTCATTCTAATTGAAATTAAACTTCAATTTTTTACACGAACCATAATATTGAAATTATTATTATAAACAATATGTTATTTAAAAACTTTTAGTCTATTCTATATGGTTATGTCATGGCCTCACTAGCGTAATTAGTCTTTGATGCTTAGTCATCAGCGCCTTTACATGGCACAGGAAGCCTTTCTTCCCCTCTTCGTAGAATATCATATATCCAACCATATAGCTACCTCCCTATCCCGTGCACCGCGATGGTTTAATACTTTTTTTTTTCAATCTATATTAATTTAAATATAATGATTTAAACAATTCCAGTGATTCGTATCACAATGCTGTAATACTGAGAATATTCCAAAAAAAACTTTATTAATTAGATGACTAAAATCGTAACTTCTTTTAGGCAAACAACCTTCTTTGCGTATCTATAATACTATAATATTTATGAAGAACAAGAATAATAAGACGATAAACCTCCAATAAAAACTTGAAATCTATAACATTTGTTATTTCTTTCAAAATTAATATAAATTATACTCTTTATAATAGTATTTAGCTTTTTCTTTACATCATAATTTTGAGAATACAATACTAATGATATCAATCATCATGAAACATTTTTAAGGATTATATAAATCTTGAAATTTTATAGTCACTATGATATTTGATAATGGAAAGAATTTTTTTATGAATCTTTCATCTGAAAAATGACATTCTCCAATAATTAATAATTAATGTAGAAAATGTTTAGTTCAAGAGGAATTATTGATATCATCATTATTAACTAACATTCAACAATTAAAAGTTAAAAACATCAATGATTCTAATTGAATCAAATTAATATCATTTTTAAGAATTCTTTTCCTAATTCTAAACGATTCCATCACTAATATCGTTAGAAAATTATCAAATAGAAAGTCATGAAATAAAAAATAGTAAAACAAAAAATAATAAAATAAACAATATATAGGTAATAAAAATAAAAATACAAACTGAAAATATAAAATTTGAGGAGTTTCATGATAGAGAACAAGATCGTGAGAATTAAAATCATAATAATGTTGATAATAAATTATCTCATAATACTGATTATAGATTTTTGGTTGGAATACATCCTTACACAGAAATCAATGCCTGGGTATTTTATCATATTTTCAAATGTAAAAACCTTTATGATGATTAATTCAAATTCCTTGAAAATTTGTTTCTATAAAATTTCTATTTTGAATATCTCAAAATTCTTAGAAATTCCTAATATTAAAACTTATGTAATTGAATTATAATACTCTAAGATTCATTTGATTTTCATTTGTCTTGTTGATAATTTAATAATTTTTTAAAAATGCTATGATTTCCATCTACGTAGTTCAGCGAGAGACAAGCGAAATAGTTTAATAGATTTATTATTTTAGATCATATTACGGGCATCGATGCGGAATTGGCATTTGGCCGGTCATCATTTCGATATTAAAGGATTCTCAGATTTAATTTCAGAGAAAGGAATTTTAAAGGATACAGTAATAAGCTTTAAATTTAAGATGCTCTTATCGACATTAGTTCTTTATCTTATGTTTATTTTTATAAATACTTTTATTCATTTCTATTGTTGATATTATTATGAGTATAGTGAAGTCAAATGGTACTATGGTTCACACTGTGTAATATTGCTTCAGGGTCTAAGAGCTAAGACTATAAAACCTATAATAAAAAAAGATTAAAGTGATAAAATTCTTTTGGGATATTATTATATTCTATTACTTCGTTAATAATCTTAGTTTCATAATTCACAATCAGGCAAGAACAGTCTTTTAAAACTAATTATATATAATATTTTCAATCAAAACTATTGATTTTATCTTCTTAAAATTTGACATTTCGAAAACTAGAAACTGGAAATTCAATTTTCGACACATTTAGCTGTTAATTTCATTAACTAATCATACGAATCTATTATTATTTTGAGTAGTCGTTACTTTCACATCTATATATCTATGCCTCTCGCGTAATCAACCTCAGGATCCCCGCAATATGATAATCTGTTCCCCACATTCTAGAAAAATCGCACCTAAAGGAACGGAACAATGTTGGAGTATACCGACGAATCAGCCTATCAGGCAATATGCGGATCAATTTCACTGCAGATCACACTCACTCATTAATCAGTCATGTTTGAAAAGCGCTTTATTTATTGCTCACGCCCAATGTGATACTTAACTTCGTTGAAGACTGTATTATAAACACACTCACAGTTGTGTTGATATTATTCAGGTGGTTTCTCGAGAAATCATTTATATGAGTAGGGCATCAATTATTCGAATGGTACCGATAGTTGCTTGTACGGTAGATTCTCGCAGTTGCTTATTCCGGAGAAGCATTTACGTTTTCATGGTAGAACATCAGCGTATCACTGCTGCTTCCTACACTTTCTCCGCGGCTTTGCCGGCTATGTTGGCTACCGGTAAACTGGAACAATCTCACCGGTGAGTCACAACGGGTTAAGTACTCGGGTAGCTATTGAGGCCCTAGCTATCCCTGCTTCCCCATCAACCTCTATAAGAATATCTATAAAATATATCCTCTCGTTTTCAAAATAATATCATTGTGCATTATTTATCAAATGATCATGGACACCAACGCGACCGTCAATCCTTCATCAGCACATGCTGATTTGTCCGAACCCGGAGAGATTTCATCACCGGGAATTTTTTCAAGTGATGACCCAATCACGCCTCTCGATCTTGTAGAAGGCCCAAAAATTCGCACGAAGTTGCGTCTGTACGCTATTTTACTAGCTCTCTATGTGACTTTACCCACTCTCATTTCAACCACTATTGCCTAGCTGACGATACCTTGTAGCTCGCTCTTGGCCTAGCCGCTCTTGACCAGACTATTGTCTCAATCGCCATTCCCACAATCTGTGCTGATTTGCATTCTGCTTCTGGTTATGTTTGGATTGGTGGTGCCTACCTGCTTGCCAGCGCCGCTACAGGCCCAATCTGGGCAAAATTCAGCGACATATGGGGCCGCAAGCCTGTGCTTCTCGTAGCAATTGGCTTGTTCGCAGTCTCTAGTACACTTGTGGCGTTAAGTATCAACATGACGATGCTCATCGCTGGACGCTCATTACAAGGTGTCGCTTGTGGTGGTCTAGGACAAGTAGTGATCATCACGATTTCAGATCTTTTTAGCGTGCGGAAACGATCATTATACTTAGGGTTCGTTGGATTTGTGTGGGCAGTCGCTGGATCAGCTGGTCCGCTAATCGGGGGAGCTTTTATTCAATACAAGAGCTGGAGGTGGTGCTTCTGGATCAATCTTCCCATCTCGGGAGTAACCTTCGTTCTCCTACTTCTGTTGCTCGATGTGCACAACCCACGCACAAAATTAATTGAAGGTATTCGAGCTGTCGACTGGTTCGGGACAATCTCCATTCTAGCGGTAACCCTCCTCATTCTTGTCGGACTCGACTTCGGTGGTGCAGTATTTCCCTGGAACAGCCCGAAAGTCATCTGCTTGATCGTATTTGGAACTTTAATGATTGGGTTCTTTCTCTTTAGCGAGAAAAGACTTGCCAAGTATCCCCTGATGCCGCTAGCAGTGTTTACAAATTCGTCTAACAATGCAACTTTTGTAGTTGTGTTTGCCCACAGCATGGTTCTAATAGGTATTGAATATTATCTGCCATTATACTTTCAAAGCGTACTACAAGTGTCACCTCTTCGTAGCGGTGTTTTGTTGCTACCACTGATAGTAATACAAGCTGTCCTTGAGATTATGGCTGGTGCTACGATCCACCGCACAGGCCGCTATAGAGAGTTCATGTGGGTAGGAACAACCCTTATGACGTTGGGAACAGGGCTGTACATATATTTCGGAGCCGATACATCCGTTGCAGTTGTTATTGGGTTGGAGACCGTTGGTGCTTTTGGTCCCTCTCTTCTTTTCCAGGCTCCTATGGTTGCTATTCAGAACACTGTTAGCCAGGTCGATACTGCCGCAGCCACAGCTTCTTTAGGTTTCGTCCGCAACATTGCAATGGCGTTGTCTATCGTGGTTGGTGGTGTGGTTTTTCAAAATAGTATGGATGCACGACAATCATCCCTTGCTGCCGCTGGACTTAGTGAACCTATTCTCAAGGCTTTATCAGGTAGCCAGGCAGCGGCAAACGTGGGTATTCCGCAATTAATTCAGGATGCTTTCCAACGGCGGGTGATTCTACAAGCTTTTGCATGGAGTCTCAGGAACATGTTCATATTATATACGTGTTTGGCGGCTGTGGCCATGGTAGCTAGTGTATTCATCAAGCACCAAAGGCTAAGCACCGAGCACACAGAGACAAAGACAGGAATCCAATCGTTGAAAAGAGTGGCGGATACGACAGAATAATTAGACACAAGTCACGATACCAACAAATTTGATATCACGATCAGTGACCTCACATGAAGCACTCGGAAAGCTAATGCACCAAGTGTTAACAAGTGTGCAGGCGTCGATTTGAAAGATATTCCCAAAATGAGAGATATCACTCCCAACGCTTCCAAAGGACTATTTCATCTGACACATGGAGGTATTGCTGGCATTAGGCCTCTAAAATGTCTGGAGGGTACCCGGGTGCACTATGATGAAAGGAAAGGAGGCATGTATCTTCTCACAATATTACGTATCGCAATTCATCTTCGAGGTTTCGAAGGTAAAAAGTCTGTTGCAGAAGCCTCACTGGCGCATCCGCTTGCAGAAAACGGGAATACCGGGAAATGGTTCAGGAACGATCAGTACTTGAAAGCTCGACGGAGAATGGAAGAGTTGAGGCAAGAATCTTGTGAAACTCAGAAAAATACCCCTATTAAAAGGTATGGAGGATTCCGGTAGTTTGTCATTCATGATAGATTGTAATATAGATGAAAAAACCGAAGATATGATTGTCAATGTCACCCAATAATAGACTACTTGTTGAAATAAAAACAGTTCATGGTATACTTATTCTTCTTGGCCCATGAAGCACATTTCATAATCGCAGTGTAGGTATGCATCATCAACTCCGCAAGCGAACCTACCAACTATCTGAGACTTCATTGTGGGCAAGATATATCATACCATTGGATAGTAGTATTAGTTATATGATACAGGGGAGTTGAATCACAGTTGGATTGTTTGGAGAAGGTGCGATCAGCTTGTTATAATTTCTAACTATTCCCACAGGGCTTCACTTTCTCGTGATCTCATTTCTGAGACGATCTATCATTTCTGAAAGCGGGGGAATTGGCGTCAGTTCACTTACGTCTGCTGACCGGTATCACCCACTCCATAATTTCACCGCCTGAATCATAAGGAATATTGAAACAGTCGAGCCTTCGCAATATTCTCTGTCGATCCCCATCAAGAATACGGCCTTAACAGCCGCGAGGTAGAAAATGTTGAAAGACGGTATAATGAAGAGTGAAAAAAGCGACTTCGTGAAGATGGGAAATTGCGGTTTGCTGAAGTTTCTCCCTCTGGCAAGTTTTGACATTTCGAGGAGGACCCTGGATTGACACTGAAAAGACAGAGATGCTCAAATGATGTTCCTGAACAACCGTTGCAAAGTACCCATGTGAGGTTTGCCCCATTCCTACTTGGTCCTCTTACTCATGTTCCATTTAAGTCGAGTTGTAAAAATTCGCTTTAAATGTTTCTTTTAGTCGAAACGTTGACGATTGATCAAATAGACCGCATGTGTGTCTGGCATATTTATTTTTATGAGTGATTCAATTTCACTTCTTGTCATGAATCGAGCGACTCAACAACTTTTCTCTAAGACTACTACATCTTGACATCATGTGTTACTTCTTGATCAACAAACGACACTAATCATTGAGCTCAAGAAGAGCTTCTGTCATTCCAAAGGTTCTAGCGCTTTGATACGCCCCTCAGTCTTTATAAAAAGAAAGAAAAACAAGAAATTCAAGCAGTCTTGGAAAAGTGATGTTGCTACGGAGTAACTAGGACCCTGTACTCAGGCAGGAATCCTTTCTTCAGTAGTATTTATACGTCTTCTATTCCAATTTATGTACAGTGGTCTTTAAGGGTGTACAGACTGAGTTCGAAACTAGTTACTCAACACTAAGTAAGTCAGCTACACACATAATGAACTTGATATGATGATAGATTGTCGTTCACGAAAGACCTTTACTCGCTACCGTCAATCAGTGAGTAACTTTCAATTAGATAATCGCAGTGACAAACTGACTTTCAATCTTCCTACTAAAGAGCTCATAGTTCTGTGATTCCTCTAGAATGTTAGTATCATTCCTATGCCCTCATCTATGCATATTATATGATCACATACTAATTGTTTTTTGAGGGGTGCTTATTGAATTTCAGAGACATAATAATAGTAGTAAGAACAAATCCCTGCGTATGTTGTCTTCGAATTAATCCTAAAACACTTTTTTGTGATCTCTTCAACGAACTTAATCTCACAGATTACTTGAACACATTCTTCAAAGATAATCGAATACAATTTCAGTAAAATCATTGAGCCACCACTTTTTATGCCCATTTTCCAAGAAGCCCCATCAACGCCATACCTCCCATTAGACTGATCAAAGCGATTAAAGTCTTGGTCAACTCAGCATTCCTCAACTCACCATACATCCAGTCATGAGCCCACATGTTGACGAAGCCGATCCAGGTAAGGATACCAGCAGAAAGGGCATCCAAGGTTCCAAGAGCAATGATGGTCGATGGATCATTACCGTTGAATTTGTTGATAACACCGATTCCAATGGCCATTCCAGTTGGAGTAACGAGCGTAAAGGCCATTGGAAGGATTATGTACTTGATTGTGTCAAGACCATCAATTACTGCAATTCGGGCGCCAAGAGCAAGTCCTTCAAACATCTGGTGGAAGACAATGACGATAAAGAGGGTGATGAAGACTGAGTCGCCTGCTACCACCAATGTGATACCAATGAGAAGAGAGTGGAAAATGATACCAGCCTCAAGGATGAAGATACTGATACCATCATTGGCATGGGTGGTTCCAACATTGTTGATGTCGTGGTGGTGGCTTAGGTGCGCGAGCGTAGGTGTAGGGTGGCCTTTTACTGCTGCTTCGTTATCCTGAGAGCTGATACTGGCAGTTTGTCTTTCTATAGTGGATTGCTGGCGCCAATGTGCGAGTCGATGACCCGCAAAGTCGATTAAGAAAGCGATAAATGCACCGGCCATCATGATAGCGGTCGTGGTTGCTTCATATTTCAATTCACCAAGACAACTATGCAGAAATGAGTACTGACATATTTCAACTAGAGGTAATGGCTGCTCACCTGTTGCCAAACATCAAAGATGCGTGGGTCGCAAGCTAGATTCGGTCAGCAACGTGCTTACCTCGCGCGAGGATTGAGAGACGAACATGGATCAAGGCTGTGGCGATGATGACACCAGTTCCAAACTGTTTAACAACGGTGAAAACAAGTCCAGTCCCATTGGTTTTTAGAACTCGCGCCATAAAAATTGGAGCATAGACCCCTGATCTCTGTTAAAAGGAGCTAGTTTTCCGGTTAAGGGGCTTACCGATTGCACTTGTAAAGAGGATGACAAACAACAATCCAATGCGGAGTTTGACATTGTAGTCGCGATCTTTTCGCTCGCAGGTTGCCGCAGCGGAACCACCAACACAATGTCTACTACAGATCAGAATTTTGGCAACGTGATCAACGCGATTATGTAACGTACTCAACACCGGCATGGAAGTGGCAGTTCTCTCCACCTTCAGACCCCGCAGAACTCTCCTGTTCAGTGGAAGCCACCTTTTCAGTAGAACCCAAGACCTCAACTTCAGCACCATCGGGTGTCAAGCAGAACATGGTAGAGCCGTGAGAATGGCAGCCATTGTAAGCCATAGGCAGAGCTTCACTACCAGTGGCAGTCGCTAATACCTGAACCTCTTCGCCATTGCCTTTCACACAATACCTGTAAGTTGATTAGCTCTCTCATCTTGAAACCTAAGATTTGCACATACTGAGTAGTATCATGTTGGTGGCAGTCAGTAATGGCAGTAGTCTGCACGTTTCCAGTCGACTCTGCGGTCACTGAAGCTGGAGACGTTGGAGTTGGAGTTGAAGTTGGAGTCGGAGTAGAAGTGCTGCTGCTAATTGTGCTTTCGGCCCCTCCGGGAAGAAAACATATTCTGTATGCAATTAAAACACAGTGCTCCCTATCATTGGCAACACGAAAGACTTACTCTTGTCCTTCCTGGAGATGGCAGCCTGTGAGCGTGATCTGAGCCCTTGTGATGGCACCGAGCAACGAAAACAGCAGCACACTTCTGAGAGTGATAGAAAAACTAGAACTGAACATCTCGTGAACAGCACCACAAAGAAGGCGTGTGAAGATGAGAGGATGAAGGAGAGAGAAAAGGCTTTCAGGGAAAGGGCTTTGGGGAAGTGATGAAATAAAGAAGCGCAACTAAATGTGAGATCAATATGCGGCCGAAGTTTAATATTTATCTTGTCAATTGAATTCTCTAGCTCAATAGACTAGAAATTTCAAAACTTAGAAAGTCTACTATCAGAGCTAGGTAAAGCGGACCCCAGAGTTGCTGCTCACTGATTGATGTTGGGAGTGAAGGCGAGAAAATTCCATCTGCATTATTACACAATCAATAGAGCAAATGGGAAGAAAGACCGACTTGGCTGACAATCTTGCACAAATAAAAAATTCGAATGGCGCCGACAAGACGAGCTTAAATGGCGGATGGAGCTTGGCATACCTGGGCATGAGAACCTTGATGGGTCAAATGAGGGTTGGCTTTCAGAATCCAAGATGACATGTTTGGTATCCTTCTATTCCCTTCCCCAAGAATGGCAACGAAAGTAGAGGCTTTTCTTTTCTTTTCGTTTTATTGTTGAACGCTCAAAGTCTCCAACTGCGCCGACGTGATCGTCAAAGATTCAAAATATCCCACCATGAATAAAAGGCTATGTGAAAGGTCTACCGGACTCTTTCAGCATAAAGAGTTGAGAGCGACAGCAGGGCTGGTGCTTTTGAACTGGACACAAATACATAACCCAGCTCTGGGGAGGCCAAGGCCTTTTTGGAAAGGTCACGAGGTTGATCAAGGAGGAGAATTTCTGTGGATTACATAATCACAAATCACGCACCCCGCTTCCCTTCAAAAACAATTAAGAAATTTGATTGGCCAACTTCGATGACAAGACAATAACTGCAGATCATAAGTCTTGCATCGTTATTATACTTTGGTGTAATGCAGATTCTAGGTCTGATTTATGAAGTGTCCAATCCTACATGACGGACTAGGCGTCTGCACTCTGAAAAGTTCTTCGCCTTGGCTTGACAAACATCCAGATGCAGTTGGCATGTTGACCTCCCGCTGGAACCACATCGTGGTCCCTACCTATCTTGTTGTACTCCTGTTGACCTCGAAATCCCTCCCTCTTCGCAATAATCAGACCAAGTCCTTGGCGCTCACGAGGTTATATGTTCGATAAAAGTGGTGGCTTTCCAAGACTGAAGCATGAGTGAGAACCCGGAGAGGTAACTACTTTAAAAGACGATGTGAATCTCACTCTGAATATACGTCTCACACAACATCTCATCAATCTTCCTCCTTCAATCTCTGGATACTGCCATCGTCAAACCAGACTTTAAAATGCACGTCTTAAGTTTCCTCATTGTCTCCATCAATACTTTTGGTGTATTGGCGTACCCTCTTACCACCGCAAATGCCGCCGTCTCTCCTGATCCAGTCTCCGAGCTCGTTATCTCTTCAGGTCACGCACCGGCATACAACTGGCAGAGCGATTATGTCTCTCACTTCACGATTCACCCATCCTGCAATGCAACGGAGCGTCATGAGCTTAGCGAAGGGTTGAGACAAGCGGTTGAAATGGCTGAGCATGCGAAGAATCACAGCTAGTACCACCTGAGATGATCAGTACCAAACCAATGCTAATTAACTTATTAGTCCTTGTCCATGGTAACAAATCCGAGATTTTTCAAAAGTACTTCGGCAAAGGTCCTACTGCTACGCCGATGGGATGGTTTGACAAGATCGCCTCTGGTAATCGCGCTGGCATTATCTTCCGTTGCGATGATCCTGACCGAAACTGTGAGACCCAGGATGGTAAGTGCGCCCATCCAGAGTAAGAAACTCTCACAATCTCAGGTCGTCTGACATTTCATAGCATGGGCTGGTCACTGGCGCGGTGAAAATGCAACAGCTGAAACCGTCATATGCCCACTTTCCTACCAAACCCGCTTCCCTCTCACCGCACTATGCGCGCGAGGATTTAACGTTGCAACAGGCAGACCAGCAAACTTCTGGGCTCCAGATCTCATGCACAGACTCTATCACGTCCCACTCATTGGCGAAGAAATCGTCGATCACCATGCTGATGGGTACCATGGCGTTCAAGAGCTCGCAGCTGGTAGCAACTATACGTTAGCAGGACACAATAGTGCTACGTTGACGTATTTTGCAACCGAGGTTTATGCGTATGACATTGCTGTTCCTGGCGAGGGATGCGTAGGCAAGGCTAGTGATGAAAAGGAGGAGGATTCACATAGTACTCCTGCAGCTACTGCATCGACTGCATCGACTTCATCGATTTCATCGACTACATCGACTGAGCCGACTGTGAACCCGACAAGAATCATCCCAGCTGAGACTAGTCCCACTGCGGCTGCCCCCGCTGGGACCGAGTGCCACACACATGACGACGGAACATTGCACTGCGTGTAAACAATTCACACTGATTAATTTATCTCAATAAAGAACTTCTTTCAATATTTCTACCCCTCTCCTCAAATTTTTGATGCCAATACCTATTACCTAATCTTTCTGTCCTCTCTAAAAACAATCAAAGCAATCTTGAATCTCAAAAGCTATATCAATCTCATCCAACTTTTACTCTCTAGCCTGTCAGATGTTGACATGTACTTTTTTCGATGCGAAAACTCTTGTTTTCTTGCTTGGGGAAGACGGATTTGTTCATATTCTTGAACTTTCTCTCTTTTTGACGATTTTGATATCAGAAATCAAGCCCGTGATTATGCACAACGTTTCTATTTATGTATACAGTCGAGATTTGAGATTTTCAGAAAGATTAATATGCTCAACTGAGGAGAATTGTTAATGTCAAGGTATGAGACAACCTCAAAATAAGATAGTAAAGGTATACAAAGAATCTCAGGTATATTATATGTGTTCCCTTTTAACCTTGGATATTTCCTCACCCTTCTTCAATTATACCTTGAAAACAATTTTAGTAAAATTTGTTATTAAAATATTACGCCTCGAATACTTCCTTCATTACCTACTCTTGGAGTTTAAAATCCAAACGGTAGTGATAATACTATTGTATCAGTGGCAAAAATCAGTTACTTTAACTTAGAAAAGAATCGAGTATTAATACCTTTAAATTTCTTACATTCGTTACTTCCCACCCCCTGAGTACCGGGGGGGAGAGAAGGGAGCAATATCCTTGCTTGGGCATGCGAGTCAGTGCGTTGGTATAGTTTCTAGCTTAACTAGCTCCGAATTATAGCGAGGGAGGGAGTGTGGAAAGTCAGCTGTGGTTGAATGAGGTCTCAATCGAGGTGGATTTCGCGAGGATGAAGGAAAAGGTATCAAATATCAGAACACTCGGGTATCCAGTTACTAACGCCCTATCAGGGAATGAAGTTTGTAAAACTCGACCATGGGAACGCTGTTTGACTGGAAATCTCCAAGCAACAACCATGCGAGGAATCAGTATATGCCAGAAATCAGAGTCACCCTTTTTTTTTTTGGAAAGGGACGAAGGTCGTTTAGGAATAAAATAATGTCAAAGCTTTCATTTTCACTCGTGAAAAGCCTGGCATAATCTGAAGTCCAGATATTTTTCACTAGAACAGACGATTGGCATAGGTCTTGTCGAGAGCCCCAAAGCTGAGCATAATCAAGACGTTGCCGAAATAAGGATATAATGAGTGTCATATTTTGCAAGTGCAGAAATGTCAATGCTCGTAGAATTGTTCGCGCCAGTCCTACATCTGCTCCGGAGAGTAAGTATGAGTTCACCTGATTGATGCTTGGCCGCTAGTAACTTCGTGTTGGTTGATCGTTTCATTAGATGTTGGGAATAAAGGGGCTCTTACCACAGATTTCGTCATTCGAAGCTAGATAAATATCATCGTCCTTTATAAGATCACATTGGATAGATTTTCCACTTTCAGAGGGATTATCTTGAACCCTTAACGCATTGGATCCTATGAAGTCGCTCGCGAGTGTCAAGATGTCCCCGATTGATTGGCCTTTGAAAAAAAATGATTTCAATAACTGCAGAACCTCCCAATCAATGCTATATTCGATTTCATAAGCTATTTACCTTGACTGAAGGGTTGGCCAATTATCAAAGAGGGCCTTTTGAACGTCGTTCGGATGTAAAAATAGTCGTGGACTTCGTCATCCTCAAATAGAGCGGGCTCTCTGATGCCGCCCGTCGATGAATTTGTAGGCCGTGGTATTTGAGTGAATTCTTGATGCTCTTTGTCGGCTCTTATTTTCGATGCTGCGTAGATATAGCGGAGAAGCAGTACTCATCTGAGGGATTTCGGTTCCGAGGTGTTTTGAGAATTGCCTGATACAACGTCGAAAGTTTTACTCTTACTTCACTAGCGTTGTGAATTCCAAGGCTTCTTGATAGAGCATCTTCAGCTTATCATCTTCTGACAAAATTCTGACAAGTTTATTTTGTGCAACCATCATTCGGAATCCCGTGGAAGATAATGAAGACAACAAGAACGCGGAGGAAAACAATTAATCAAGGCTATCTAGGCTACTAGATGTATCACTACGCCTTAAATGCTTAAACGTTTGAATCTAAGATTTGTGAAATCCTGGCTGCCTTGCAGTCCCACAGAATCTTGTATCTTTTGCCCTCTTGGGTCGGCCGTTGTTGGCACAAATCCAACAGCACTACCTCTTAGGATACTGTGGGAATCTAGGGACGCATCTCCATTTGATCTGTCATCATATTTTTGGAACGGTGAAGTCTGTCTTGATGAGCGATCCTTGGTATCATTTCTGGTGCGACCATGTAAATGGGAATGATATGTCTTGTTCCCAACGTATAACGAAATAGTTCGCTCGGGATCAATCGACTATTTTCTTTCTGGGTTTACTAGCGCTAATGCTTGTTGGTTAGAGGTCGACTAAGAGTGTGAGCCGCTAAGAGGTATAATTGGAGGTGGACTTCTACCGTTGTGTTGGTGGTCTGGGAAGTGGCTAGCAAGACCAACCGTAGGATTGTGATTATTGAAGTTCGTCGAGAAGTGGTGCATGAATGGCGAATTGTACTGTGTCGGAGGGTTTTGTCTTTCCGAACTGTATCCACAATATTGATTGGTACTAAATTGACCAATACCATACTCTGTTTCACTGGACGATATTGAAGACGGTAAGCCGCTCCTGTAGTCCGAGACTGTGAATTAATGCGAGGGAGTAGAGAAGGCAGAATTATTTGAAGTGTTTGGTATGATAGAAATTGAATTGCTATGCGTGGGATTATCTGTTGAGTATGAGCTTGGTATAGACGATTATTAGAAAGACTCAATAGACAACTAGCCTGGTCGTAGGATTCCCTCAATGTTCACTGACTGTCTTGACCAATGAACAATTCCCTAACATTATGTCCCGCAGTATAAGTTCTTGCATAGTTTGTTCTCGGTGCCAGGTCGAGATAATGTTGCACTGATTCTGGTATCATTTTGGTTCGTTGAATATCATTTGGCGAATGTTCTCATTTGAAATTTTGGCACCATCGTGTAGATGAAGATGTGCTCTTCGGCATGTACACCTGGCTTGTCTGTCGCTCTTCGTTTGTAAGTTATAATTCGTCTAAGTTGACAGTCAGTGACAATATAGATAGCAAGATATTATATCAAACTTACAAAGACAATCACCTTGTCTAAAGTCTATAATAACAGACCTCCGGAACGTTGCAGATACCATCTCACCATGCTCCTTTCTACGCGACGAAAATGTTTCCTCTTCAGCTGAACTTCCAGATGGTTCGGACCAAAGGACTTTAAAAATCTGCCTGAATTAAATGTAACCTCACTATCTGGAGGGGAAGCTGAGAACTTACTCTTCCGAATTGAGTTCCCTAGCAATATGCACTTTATGATCCATTACAATTTAGTAATTGGATATGTCTTCCATATTAAAGCACTTACTTAAGTCAAGGTTCTGATGCTGCATAGATGGTTCGTTCTTTCCGAAACCGTCCACAAAAGCAGGGTCTGCAATTACAATTTAAGACAGTAGATGCTAGTGAACCTGTCACGATGTCAATATCATTATTAACTACCGAATGCTCGTTGCTTCTTGAGTAATGTGAAGTAATCCCCGGCACAATATCGACCGACATGGTGTCACCCTTTCAGATTTATTAGTTTCACTGGATATTGATTGATCAGTTCAAACTTCCATTCGTTTTCGCCACTAGAATTGATATGACTAGATTGCACTCTTGTCTATTCGCATTCAAATTCTAGTCACTCCATAAAGTAGAACTGGGAGACAATTTGAAAGATGTTCTCAACTTTTTGATGTGAAGTGGATGAGACGACATTGTGGAATGTTCTGCGTTGAGAAATCCCAGAAACGATATCACATAAAGTAGCTTCAGTGCGTTCAAAGCCGAGAATGAAGATTTGAAGGCTCTTGATTTACACATCTTTACGTGGCGATAATTAGCCGTAGTCATCCATGCTACAGAGTGCTCATTAGTAGCTTTGAGTATCGTTTACACTGCTTGTGTGACCAATACCCCTACCACCGGGGTAAGCTCGTTTCGCTTTTGCTTACAACTAATCACTAATATACAATGAGGTAACATCAATGCAATAGAGCGGAGAATCGAACTTTAGGGGTATATCGGTGAGAATTTGTGCAAGTTGAACCTACCCCTAACAAGAGATATCATACAAACACTCAACTCACAGTAAAGCCTTCTTGAATATTTGTACCCTAGATAAATATTATCCCAAAGTTGTCATAAGATTTTTAAACTTAAGGTTCTTATTATGCTTAAAATGTTTATTTCAAAATTGCAATTGTCAGAACATTGCCCAGGTCCTTGCACATCGCTTAACTGCTCAAACTCACCAAAAAATAATATTGTAGTATTACTTAAATTGTGAAAATGAAACGAACAACCAGCTCCTAGAAAAAGAAATGAAGCTCGAAGGTCTCGACGTTTGCGAGGATTTAAAGTATAAAATAAACACAAATTGAAGTCTCAGGGTCATTGAATAACTAAAGTTTTCAATGCACATAAATTCATTTTTAAAGTGTTCGAAATGTAAGGGTAAATGTAGAATTATTATGTCAAGATCCTTGTTTAGTGAGTATCGAATAATTAGCAACGTGATTGAATTCCTTCTACAAGGTATTCATACTTTCTGAACACCTCTTTTCCATAGCACAGTTATTGCACACGAGTCATTTGATTTCTTGATGACATTCATGTACCCAAGCGCCCAACAACTCTTTCAAGGTTTAAATATCTCGAACCCCATACAAGGTCAATCTAAGCTTTCCCGACCCACTCAAGACAACCAATTAAGAGCCTGATATCAATTAGAGATCTAGTGCTGCTAATCTACCAACATGCAAAGACTCTGAAATCTGAAAGAGCAGAGCATTGAAATTCTACAGACATCAGAACAATCCCTCCCCGTCATCTTAGACAATATCAACTTGCCTAACAAAACCATCCCCAGAACTCAGCCAGCATTGTACCAAGTTCCTACCTCGGTATCATGAATACTGAAAAGATCGACCGTGAGCATACAAACTCCCGAGATTACAGACTCCATTCCCTTAAAGAATCTTGGGAAAAGATGAGATAAAACGAACGGTGTGCAAACTGATTTGTGATAACTATGCAAAATTTCTTGAACTAGCTATTTAACTTCATAGCGAGCCCTGAGTCTGTAGCTATGGTATACTGATCGATTATTCAAGTTCCAAAAAACTGAAAATCAAACAAGTTTCTTGTTAGCAAATGCAAACATGTGAATGCTTTCTACCAAGTATACTCGAATTGAAAGTCTGATATCCTGCACCTCTTGTTCAAGGAAGTTCTCCTGATTCGAGCGCTTACTATCTCAACAAATTAGGTATTATGAGGCATATTAAGAAGATTAATTTTTTGGGAAAATACTATGCAATAGGAGATGAACAAGCAGGCTGTGAGTACTAGTTGTTCTTGGATATGAGGAGTAAATATGGGGAAAAAAGGGCTCGAAGCCTATTGAAAAAGAGGTAAACTTGATCATCATTTCTAAGGAATTGAAGCTGGGTAAGATTCTAGAACTGCCGAGGTCGTCTGTCTCGATGCTAATACCATACTTAGTACCCACTTGGCATCTAATATATACGAGCCAATCAAAACACTACCGTAATTAGAGGGGCCTGTGACAAGCAGGCTTCCCCACAATTTTGTTTCAACGTTGAATCCTATAGCACCTATATCACAAAAAGCATTAATGGGAGCAATTAATAAAATACGACTTAACTAGTTGCTCGGAAAAGCCAATGAGACATAGACGAGTCTGTCAAAACACCGTCATAACTAAACGACTTGTAATGATTGGACTTTCTCATAATTTCATTTCAATGTTACGTCCTGTAGTAGGTATATTGCAGTGAGAATCAATTGTAAACGATTAGTATGGTATACCCTTGCTAGCTTTTTCGTTGGCATTTGGATCGATGGACTTGGCGATGTCACCGGCCAGGGAATGATATGATATAAAGAGAGCAGGATCGCGAGGTTCTTGTGTTCGATATCCTCTCAATCATCCCAATCATCCCAATAACTTTATTCCTCTCTCAACTCTAAGTATCCTGTGATACATCTTCATCATGATTCGCATATCTACTTTGTTCTTCGCCTTGCTACTAGACGTGGCAGTAATGCCGCAAGCATTCGCCGCTACATGTGACCTCCCATCTACATATAGCTGGACGTCCACTTCTGCATTGGCGACACCAAAGTCAGGATGGGCCTCACTGAAGGACTTCACCCACGTTGTCTACAAGGGCCAACACCTTGTCTATGCTACAGACCACGACACAGGAACCGCCTATGGCTCAATGAACTTCGGGCTCTTCACAAACTGGTCTGACATGGCCTCAGCCAGCCAAAACGCAATGACTTCAACCACCATTGCCCCCACTCTCTTCTACTTCGCTCCAAAGAGTATCTGGATCATGGCCCATCAATGGGGGCCGACCGCATTCTCCTACAAGACATCAAGCGATCCAACCAATGCGAACGGCTGGTCAGCATCGCAGCCCCTCTTCTCCGGCACGATCTCCGGTTCTAGCACCGGCCCCATCGACCAAACCGTCATCGGCGACAGCAAAAACATGTATCTCTTCTTCGCAGGAGACAACGGCAAAATCTACAGATCCAGCATGCCAATCGGTAATTTCCCCGGAAATTTCGGCACAGCATCAACCGTCGTCCTTAGCGACACAACCAACAATATCTTCGAAGCAGTTCAGGTCTACACCGTAGCAGGTCAAAACAAGTACCTCATGATCGTCGAAGCAATCGGATCAAAGGGGCGATACTTCCGCTCATTCACTGCTACAAGTCTTAGCGGTACATGGACTCCACAGGCTGCGACTGAGGCGGCGCCGTTCGCTGGAAAGGCGAACAGTGGTGCCACTTGGACTAACGATATCAGCCATGGAGATTTGATCCGCAGCAATCCGGATCAGACAATGACGATCGATCCATGTAATTTGCAGTTGCTGTACCAGGGAAAGAACCCTTCTTCCAACGGCAACTATGACACTCAGCCTTACCGCCCTGGAGTTTTGACTCTCAAGAAGTAGTGTGTGAACCGTATCGTAACGCCGGTGGAAGTTTGAATCTGGCGAGCAAGGAGGGAAGGGGGCGAGGGGGTGGTGTTGAGAGTTCCAGTCGAACAAGACTCGAAAATTTGCCTTTCTATTATTGATTGTATTTATTATTGATTGTATATATTGGAACACGTACATATTCTGTCTCCAAATCTTATATTCGCTACATTGTCTTTGATTTGCCCGTTTCAAGATGCACCCGTTTGCCATAGCACGTCATTGATAGAGAGAGAGCATGTCGCTATTGCATTTTTGATACACGAATATATAGACAACGAGGCGAAACAATGTGACCTGTGTGTGATGTTAAAATTTTGATATTTTGATGGTTCTCGTGTCCATTACATAGCCTGAATAATTTCTATCCAAATCCACTCCAATACCATCCAGTACTGCGGTGTTCCAAATCTATTACCAATAAACCAATCGCGCCTAGACTTCCGACATCTATCACAAATCCATGTAATCTGCTGCGGATCGACCGTTATACTGGTAGGTACCGGTAGCAAGGTGAACGATAGAGGTCGAGGATGATTGGCAGTGGCAGTGGAGCGAGTCTAAATAAACCTTTAAGCTTATACATAAACATGGCGGAATGAATTAATCTCCATGCGACTCTGTGGATACTCTAATGGCTTATCAATGCTTACTAAAGTTGGTCTCATTCTTTCGGTCCGGTTCGTAAAATATTAATAAGGCGGTGGCATTGAGGATCTTTATGAGTGGAAATTTGAGTCTCCACAGTTCCTTTCAGTCTTCTGTCTGTGCACCATTAAGAGTTTTCTGTCGTTTCAGAACTCCGCCACGCTCTTCATGAACTTGATGAACTTGATGAACTTGATGAACTTCATGAATCATAACGTTTGCTGAACCCATAACACATTGACTCCTTTCTCTCCTGCGTCGATGACGTTTCCCTCCCTCTTCGGACTGTAATCTATGTTACATTACAGCATCCATGGATTTTTCAGACTTTTCCGAGTATTGTCCGCTATCAGAAGCGAGTCAGGTGATGAGATCTATAGAATGTTCGGATTGGTCGGATTGGTCGGATTGTTCCATCAAACTTTGATTGAATGCCAACATAACGGCACTTAATCGGTACTGACAATTTTGATGGGTACAGACAAGCGGATCCTTGCGTGCGTCAATGTCCTTTCGGCATTATTATTTTTTGACGAGGCTTTGCCGACGTCACAATCAAGCGATTGAGGTTCGAACCAAAAGATATTGTGGACCATAACTCTTGATTCCTCAAACTCAACGCAAGAACCATAAGTTTGACGCGTGGAATGGCATCTCGGTATCCCCTTTTGCTTTGTCAAGTACGAAAATTGCTTTGTCAAAGTTGCGAAGAACTTACCGATGCCATATAATCCTCAAAACTGAGTCTATATGCTCCACTGAATGCCCCAGTCGGCGGCAGAGATGGTTCTAGATAGGCTCAGGGCCGATCGACAGATGTGGGACAATGTTCATATAAGTTCACCTACGACTTCATCCGATTCTCTCTTCTAATTACCGCTACATTTTTTCGTTCTTTCACCCCCTCATCTCTTTATCAACCCAAACGATCATGCATCGTGTACTCTCTACACTTGCTCTAGCCTCTTTGGCTGCAGCTAGCACCGACTCTACCTTAACCTATGATTATATCATTGTTGGTGCTGGAACCAGTGGTCTAGTCATCGCAAACCGTTTATCCGAGTTGAATGTCACTGTGGCTGTCATTGAGGCAGGTGATTCGGGTTACAACAATCCCAATGTGACAAACCCATCCGGTTACGGATTAGCTTTTGGAACAGATGTCGATTGGGCGTATCAATCGACCAGCCAAAAGTATGCAGGAAACACGAGCCAAGTCTTACGAGCTGGCAAAATCATCGGAGGGACTAGTACTATCAATGGTATGCTTCCTCATTAAATTATGCATGACTTCTCTAATACAATCAGGAATGGCATACACCCGAGCCGAAGATGTTCAAATTGATGCTTGGGCGGCCATCGGAAATGATGGATGGAACTGGGCAACTCTTTTCCCATACTACAAAAAGTCTCAGGCACTTGAAATTCCTACCACTACTCAAGTTGAAGCTGGTGTAACATATGACCCCTCGGCGAATGGATTTGGTGGACCACTAAAGGTTGGCTGGCTCAATAGCTTGGAAGATCCTAATAACTTACACACAACCTTGAATGATACATTTGCAGCTCTCGGTGTTCCTTCAAATGATGATGTCAATACTGGTAGAATGATTGGTTACGGTCGATACCCGGTTACTTACGACAAAACATTGAACATTCGTCATGACGCTGGAAGAGCATATTATTATCCAATTGCTAACCGCACCAACCTTCATCTTTACCCAAATACTATGGCTCAACGACTCACGTGGAAATCCGACACTGGTACCCCTACCGCAAATGGAGTCGAAGTTCTTGCCAACAACTCAAGCATTCCATACACTATTCGTGCAAACTCCGAAGTCATTCTTTCAGCTGGATCTCTAGCATCCCCTCTTCTTCTCGAACTTTCCGGTATTGGAAATCCTTCTATCTTGAGCAAACACAATATCTCAGTTGTGGTTGATCTTCCAACCGTCGGAGAAAATCTTCAAGATCAAACAAATACTGGCCTTGCATACAACAGTTCAAGCAATACCTCTTTCTCCGAAGCCGAAACCTTAGTAGCTTATCCTTCCGCAGCCCAAGTATTTGGTTCCGAAGTTCAAAATATCTCCGCCAATGTTCTTCAATCTCTTCCCTCATATGCTGCACAAGTATCAGCTGCATCAGGTAACATCACCAAAGCTGCAGATTTGTTGAAACTCTTCAAAATTCAACATGATCTAATTTTCTCAACCACTCACCCAGTTCCAATGGCTGAAATACTCATCTCACCATCCGCCACAGCTTTCAGTTCGCAATATTGGGCCTTGTTACCATTTGCAAGGGGAAGTATTCACATCACATCTTCCGTAGCTGGCACACCCGCAGCTATCAATCCAAATTATTTCATGTTTGATTGGGATGTCACATCACAAATCGCTACGGCCAAGTTTATTCGCTCCATTTATGCGACTCCTCCATTGTCCTCTTTCGTCGGATCAGAGACTGAGCCTGGATTGAACATATTATCAGCCAATGCCACCGAGGCGGAATGGTTTGATTGGGTTAAAACTGTTTATCGTTCAAACTTCCATCCAGTAGCAACGGCTGCAATGATGCCCAGAGAGATTGGTGGAGTGGTAGACTCAAAGTTGAAAGTGTATGGAACAGCGAATGTGAGAGTTGTGGATGCTAGTATATTACCTATGCAAGTTTCTGGACATTTGGTTAGTACTTTGTATGCTGTGGCGGAGAGAGCAGCAGATTTGATCAAGGAAGATGTGTAGATGTCTCGCAGTTAGAGGCAGAATGATGTACGGTATGATGTTTCTGGCATTGAGTATCGTCGTTATAAAATCCAAGTATTTCAGTATATATAATCTTACAATCTAATTTTTTATTCTCATGCTCACATCACTCAGTCATCTCCGTGATCATATGCTCCACAGGTTTTATTTCAGCGGAAGAAGGGGTTACGAATATGAGAGTTTGTGTGATGTTAAACCAAGTGATATTTCCCTTAGGCTAGTCGCCCAGCAGCACTCTCCAAGTTTCAGGCTCTAATAGTACATTCCCTGAGGCTTCAAACCCTGCTATTTGGAAAAATATTTGGAGAGCTGTGGACACGGAATTGTTTGGTATCTTCTACGACATTTGTACAATTTTTACAGTCTCATTGTAGCACCTCAGACTGTATACTTGAAACGATTCTTCCACGAGAATCTCCTTCGGTTTAACTTTAAGATTTTATTATTATTATTACAATTGTGTTAAAATAGTCAGAATTTCTTCGATGTTTCCAAGCATCAGATCTTCATTGTCAGCCACATAGCTTCATCGCGAAGCACCGTCCAATTGAAAAATTGATTTCATTCTTCTAGAACGTGATGATCTATGTTTTTGTTTTCTTGGTTTGGCTTTCGACCATATACAACATAGCTATAATATTAGTTCTTATGCATAAAATTGATGACAATAACTTACAATCGACAGTAGGATGTTTTCTCCTATTTTTGATTTCCTATTTTACTTCGCCAAGAGATCGTTTGCTGTCATCTAGATTCCAGCCAAGTTTATCAAGAGAACGAATACTCATACCTTCTAGTCCAGCCACGAAGTTTTCCTGTTCCAAAGCCCCGACCAACTTTAATCGTGGGTCTTTCGGCCATGGATTGGAAGGGATCTTGTATTTCTTTTCTACAACAGCTTTGTCGAACCATTTCTTGAATGAAACCGGATCTTCTAGAGGGGTTCCAAATGCAACTGCAGCTGCTCTAATATGTTTATCATGTTCGCGGAATTTACTTTCAAGGGGTAATGTATCATCATCACAGCCTAAAACACCATGAATCAATTGGAACTCTATCCAACCGCCGGGTTTAATGTGACTAAATAGTTAGAATTTGTCTGATGTTCAAGGAAGAGACCTACTCATAGCATTGAGAGATCAAATTCAGCCAGTTTCTCACTAAGGAAAGTATATCCCTAGCAAAAACAAAATCGAAAGTATCCTTCTTCCATGTCCAAGGTTGAGTGATGTCGTCGACTTGGAATTGGCAATTTGGCGGGGCACTAAAAACAAGTCAGATCAAAGATATCTGCAAGTTTTGCTCTACCGATTCACAACATTGTAGAGAGGCGTTACCAAGTGGATTGTATCGGAGCAATATCTATTTCCACGACCTTATCAACGTCAAATCATCTTCATTATTTTAAATATGATTGGGTACTCACCTCAGCGGATGGATAAGCATCAGCAAAATCAATACTCCAAGCTCCTGGTCGTAGTTAGTCTCGGTTTGGTTTGACCCGACTTCAGAACTGCATAGAAGGCTAACCAGTTTCAGTACCAAGGTCTAGGACCTTTTGGACATCTGTGTCAATAGGTGTTAAGGATTGTTTATTTTCAAGAAGCATAAAATGCTTTGCATGCGCCATATCAATTCGGTTCATCTCTACTTCGTCCATTGGCATTCCACACTCTTTCAGATTTTAGTACTTCAACGACCAGTATATGCATCTCAGAGATTAAGCTTTACCTTCCTGACCATATACAGCATATGTTCTTCCATTCTCTTCTACTCCCTTTATGATACTTGAAGTTAGCGACGCGAGAGAGCCCTTGCATCTTCTCCAACTTCTGCTCTCTGTGGTGGTCATTATCCACAATCATTCCGCTTTCTTCATGAACAAACCTCATCAATGAGATCATCATCCCCAAGTTCGATGAAGTTTCGTTCCTACATTGATTATCTCAACTGTTGCAATAATCTTCACATCATTTAAAAGCATTTTGTGGGTATCTTACAGTATTTATTTCAGACGTCGCTGGAAGATTCCCCTCACAGTTTGAGCTTCTATATCTAGAAAAGTTTCCGTTCTTCCTTGCTTTTCAGTACCATGTCATCGTGACGGTAAGTCAGTGATGTCCTTGTGGATTTGGGATGAGTTTTTCGGGACGGCTCGATCTCTCCCCGTCCCCCGAGCTTGTGGTTAGGAAGCGACAAGGTATATTCGGGATATGGATTTGAATCCGGTAGCACATCCGTTCTGAACAAATATTCCACGATCGGCCGTCAGCAAGATTGGGTTATCCCCACTTCAAACTGTTAGATCCCCACATCATGTTGATTTCATGACGTGGCGCTTCAGAAGGTTCGAAACAAATGTCCTCCGTCTTAACTACTCAAGCACATAGCATGATATTCCTCAAATCCGTCAACTAATCAGTAATTTTACGGCCTTGTCAACGACATTTGAAATCGCCATGGATTCTTTTCAAAACTATTCAGAATTATCGCAAACAGCTGATGAAATATCAACCAAAGTCAAGAATTTTGACGGCAATCATCATGCTAGAACTGAACTCCTCAAACAGGTTGACAAACTTCGACTTCTTCTCGAGGAGCCAATTGACGTAGTGATGCGACAATGGGAATATGTGCGTCTCAGCTCTTGGGACGGGTGGATAGCCAGTTTAATTTCCTCGTGCTAATATATTATAGACAAATGTCATTGCTGCTCTTAACCTTTTAGTTGAAACAAAAACATTTGAGACAATCCCGCAAGAAGGATCAATCACGGCAAAGGAACTTGCTGCAGCAGTCAACGTAGACGAATCTGCCATTGGTTCGTTGTTCTACCAGTAGACACATTCCATGGACTCGGACTGACTCTTCTCAAGCCCGTGCATTAAGAATGTCTGTCATGTTTGGTATTGGGGAGGAGGTAGACTCCGATACATTTGCGCACAATAGTAAATCTCTTGCGTACCGACCTGGTTTTCAACAAGAATTCTTCAGGCTCATGTAAGTTATCAGAGCCAATGGCCTCCCTAACTACCCTTCCTCCTCTTGCCTACCTGCTCCTTGATTACGTAAAAAATTCCTGACCATCTAGTTATGACCATACTCCCGCATATATTAAACTTCCAGAGTACTTCCGAACTCATTCCAAAGAAGATCTCTACGATCTGACAAAGGGACCATACGCCTATGGCCATGGATTAGAAGGCAAAACTTATTATGAAGCAATCTCTCACAATCCAGAGCGTCTACATATGTTTAATACGACCATGGTATCCATGGAGAGACAATCTCCTATCACTGGCATGTATCCATTTGCTACACTCAAGGATGAAGTTGAAGCGGAAAAAGAGAGACCATTTGTGGTGGACATCGGAGGTGGAAGAGGTCAAGCTTTAATTGCCATTCAAAAAGAAGCACCAGAAGGTTTTGGTGCAAAGATGATTCTTCAGGATAGATCAGATGTTCTGGAGAGTTTGACAGAGCAAGATATTCCCAATATCGAGAAAATGGTTTATGATTTCCACACACCCCAACCTGTTAAAAGTAAGTTGTTCACTATATTTCGTTCACGTGCATCTTTTTAGGCGGGTTATGTGATCGGTGAAAGGAGCGCTGTTGGGGAATAATAAAGATGGAAGTACGGTGGTTGAAGATCTTAATGACTTGGTGTAGAAACCCAAATGGAAATAGAAATCTAACATAAAACAGATGCTCATGTCTACTTCATCCGACGCATCCTCCATGACTTCTACGAACCAGTCTGTGTCCAACTCCTCAAGAATATCGCATCGGCTATGGGTCCTGCATCCCGCGTTGTCATTGCTGACATGATACGACCAGAGAAGACTGATATTGGTGGTGAAATGATGATTTATTGGATGGACTTTTGCATGATGATGTTGAATGGAAAGGAGAAGAGTGAGAAAGAATTCAGAGAGATTATTGACGCAGCCGGACTGGAGGTTATCAAAATTTGGAGGTATCCAGTTGGAACACAGGCACAAATTGAGTGTCGATTAAAGAGAGTATAAATAATAAAGTATTGGCTATAAAACCGATGACTGTCAACATAGTAATAGGTAGCTCAATCGACAGATTTGCTGTTCTAATTTTCTAGACTCCTGTGATACTTCAATTGCATCAAAAATATCACAATGTAATAGTGGAAGAGAAGAAAGAGAAATGAATAATGAGAGATTATGTCATACGAAGATAATCGGCTCACTTATAAAGTCCACACAATTTATTCTCATCAGATAGACTCAACAAAAGACCAAGAGATACCGTCAAAGTCAGAATGCTTCTACAGTCATTTGGTCATATTTCAGGATCTGAAAGTCATTTAAAGCAAAAAGTATTTTTATTATTTTATTCCAGAAACGATTTCTAGACTTTTTTTCAACACCCAACTCCCAACCATCTATCCCATAATTGGAACGATTTTCTTATAGATTTTGAATTCCTTTCAAGTCTCGCGATAAATAACTAAATACTCCCTAGCATCCAATCTTACTCCTCAAATACAGTAAAAGAACAAAGCAAAAGAACAAAGAGAAAGATGAAGAAACTCCAATGGAACTGTCCTCTCAAAGACTGACCGTTACGTAAACATTGTTCGCAAAACTCGACCCACACGGGATCTTGTCCGTTCCAGGAGGGGCTCGTACGTCCCGATGCGCAATCGTTGCAGGGAGTTCCGATGAATCGGTGGCTGAAGTCGCCGCAGCAGCAACACTTGACTACCTCGTAGTCACAGTAGTTGCATTGTTCTGACATGTCTGCGGATTTGGATTCAAGATTCGGGGTGTTCTGTATCTCTTGAATGTTCTGAAGGTCTGAAGATGCTGCTGAGAAAATCTTAAAACGCGATTTACACTTATAAATACAAATCTATCTGGTATGGTTCACTGGTTGTTCTGATATAGTCCCCATTGAATAATGATCTAGTTTCATGCGGCTGAAAAGTTACATACGGACTTGAGTCTTTTCAGGTATTGTTCGGTATTGTCCATATGAGAGGGGATTATGATGTTGTTGTCTGGTCATTATAGTAAGCACCGCATGGTTTCAAGAGAGTTTGTAAGTCAGAAACTATCTCACAGATTCAGCGTACTCGTGTCTTCAACAAACCGAGTGACTCAGGACATTCCACACGTTTCCAAACGAATGAGAGAGGTTTCGCTGTTGAATCTAATGCATGCAACTCACAGAGAGTTGTGAGACTTGGAAACCAGCGACAAGTAGATGAAGCAAAATAGGGGAGAGTAATAAGAGACAAGGAGGACAGTAGAGAATCACAGGAGCTTCATGCAAAGAAGTCGTTACTGAGGGTGTCGAGACAGATACGACGAGTTTGAAATTGTACCTCAGACATTAAGAAGTCTAAGTGACTAACAAAACCAATACATTACAATGTCTCGCAAACAAACAGAACCAGAAGGTGCCTGCTCACGAACCAATGATTTGGGAAACTATTAAAACCCAATGAGAATCTAAGGAAACAGGGCTAGAGTGAAGAATAGATAATCATCTTAGATCTATACATATACTTACGAAACCGACACATCCACAGACTAAGGCGTGGCGATTATGATTACAAGCCCAAGCTCAGTCATCGAAGAATTCACAAGTTATTATCTGAGATTCACTTGATACTTATCTCGCTAGGATTTAGAATGAATCCATCCATCCCCAATTACAGCAACAGAACATCTGGCCACCTGGACTAGAATCCGTCATGTGTTTGATTTCTGAACGTTTTGATACTCTATTCCCAAATTCCCAGCCTCGCTTGACCCAAAGCTATCGGTGCGTAGTGGCAAAGAAAACCAGCATCAGAAGCTCATATGCAAATCGCCCCACTAGCTCTCCAGTTCTGTGATACCATAGAATGTAATTTTAGGAATGCTAATTCTTGGATCAGAATCCCTTTCATGGTATAACAAACCGTCGCTTTCTGTGAATTCAGCATGGAACATGTCTTCAAACTCCTTTCTTTTATCCTCCCAGCGCGAGTAATCCTCAAAGCCATCCTCGCCTTGTCCTGTGTCGTCTGTTGGGTCTTCCTCCTCGGTATATTTGTTTTTCTCATCCCCATCGCCTAAGAAACCAGCGTCGCATTCTTCCTCTTCCCTCTCCTCTTCCTCCTCCTCGTCGTCAGTATCGAGTGGCTTTCCATGTTGCTTGCGTATTAGTTTTTCGATTCTTAAAGAGCTTCTTTCAGTTAGGTAATGTCTTCTAGGTCCGGACTGCACATATCTTCCAGCTCGCAAAGGCACGAATTGAAGAGCGGATCTTCTCTTGCTGTATTTGTCCAGATTCTCGGGCCTGGCGCAAACAAATATGATTTCCTTCAGGTTGGGAAAGACGCGAGCAATCTCGTAATTTCGGTTACTATCAAAAAAACGCCAACTTGAGGGATCGAGAATGGCAATGCGGATACTCTCTCTTTCGATGGCGTAAAGCTCGAAAAATACTACATTGCAATCACGATCGGCAGGACAGCGTATGCCTTCCGATCGTGTTCCGTTCGGATTATAGAAGACTGTCTTTGAGAGCGAACGTGATGGTGGATCTGGGACTGACATGATCGAACTGAATATTGTGAGACCCTATCTAATATTAGTATATCACTACTACCATTGCATTATTAAGTATAGAGATCTTACGGGAATGTATAGAATATGCCAGATGACCGGACCGGAACGTTTTTTCTTGGTGAATTTCAGAAGTTAACGTTTTGTTACGCGGGAAAATAAGTGTAATCCGGATGGAGTGAGGAACTGAAAACTATTGCAAAATAGAAGTGAGGGGGTTGATTTATGTGTTCGAGCCATCTCTTGTCGGGGTCAAATAGCAAACCTATTTCAAATGAAAACTTTGAATGAGCATCTGAGCAGTGAGCCCTTTGTAAAACAATAGGTATCCGAAATAAGAAACATTCTTCGTGCATGACCCCTTTCAAACAAGCAATCAGCTCAAGCAAAGCCCGTGACATAGATGTAATTTCTTAGTATCTCTTAATATCAATAAATCCAGTGAGCTAATCTACTATTGATTATACAAGTCTTTGTCCTTGTGATGTAAGATTTGTAAAAGATGCGGATTGATTGGAATGGCAGTCTCTTGATTGTGTGTTTTGAAACTTGATGTCCTTCACACATGCGAAGCGTGATTTAGGCTGAAAGACGCGTGCAAAATACAACCCCCTGAACAGATAAAGCTAAGGAAATACAACTGGAAATCTCGCAGGATTCACAAGGAACGTTCCGACTATTTTCGCTTCTCAAACTCAAAAATGAGCAACTAGCTCGCTCATCACTCGAAACAATGCAGCTCGCCACCTTGAGCCTACCAAACAATAGCCGCGTCAGTTATCAGTCACCTTGTCTTACAGGTAGTGACCACATAACTTCTTTCTCGCCTTGCCCAAGTCAAAAACGGCATTTGAAAGACTACCATGACATTGCTGTTGAAACTACCAAAATCTCGAACAAAAACAATCTCGAACTCATCACAGCAAAGGCACTTCATAGCTAGAACTTTCAAGCCACTTTTCACGGATGCTCAACGCCAGGAATTACAGCAATTTCGCAAATTAAGAAAAGCCAATTCATCTTCATGTCTCGAATTGCGAAAAAATCCAAATAGAGTTCCGAAGGGGCGCTATATAATGACGGACCTTCAGCCTATCATATGCATCCTATATACGCCGCGATGCCCATTTTTTCCCAATTACACATTTATACAATTACTTTTACATTGAACTCGAGCTTCCTGCCTAAAACCCACCTCCAGAATGTAAAACCCCACCCACAACTTTTCCCAGAACTCCTCTAATTCCATTCCTATTCTCTCCCACACATGTAAAAACAACCGCCGCTCCCCAAGCAAAAATTGCCCTCTCAATCCACTGGTCTTCCCATCTATACCTCCTCGGCAGAAGTGTAGCCAATGCTCTTGGTGCTACAAATAATCCCATTTCTTCTCTCCTCTTCGCACTCTCTATAAATACACTCCATCCACACATCCAACATCCGGTTCCTATACAATATCCTGAATCGATGGCTTGGCAGGCGTGGGGAGATGTACCAAGGATCTGAGGACCGAATTTAGTACGAGTCAGACAGATACCATAGTAGAAAAGTGTTATGAAAGTAGAGAGAAAGGCCGAAGAACGAGCTGATGATTTGAGGGCATGAGTAAGAGCTTTTTTCGAAACTTTTGGATTACGGAAAATAAGTGCCAAGTTTAGTGGCAAATACATTGAAGCAGACCAAATAAAAGATTTATAAAATCTAGACACCGCATGGAATTCACAGCTTGGACCAGCACCCATGTGGACTAATTCACATGGGAATGGGATGAATTTTGTAGGGTCCCCATACTCTTCTGGTAGACCATAATCTTTGCACATATCTCCTAGGAGATGTGCTTGACCCGTTTCGACTCCATATTTTAGTTCACCATAACGACAATAGCGGAGGGCTTTCAGCAGACGGGAATCCACTTGAGCGGCAGATTTGATCCATTTGTTGTAGGCACCAGGAAGACGAGCGGGGGTGTAAATGAAAGCCCACATTATTAGAGCGCAGGATGTGGCGAACAAAGCTGGGTCTGTGAGGGATGAGATTGTTCTGTCTACCTAATATTCGAGTCAGCAGTGCTTTTAGAGGCCATTTGAGTGTTGAAAGCTTACCCTCGACCACCTGCCAGAAACTTGTCGCTGGCTCTTCCTCCTAGCCCATAATTCCCCAACTATGCAATCAACAGCTCGAGTAAAAGCGAATAGTGTCAAGTCTAGAGTTCTTCCTGCAAACCGAGTAGGTCGTAATTCGACTCCATTTTTGGTTTCATATGGTAGATCTTCAGTGAAGGTTTTACTTGGACGGGATTGAAGTAATTTGAGACTGAAGTAAGCTGATATGAAGGTTGAAAGATAGCGAGTGAGCCTAGATAATCTTATATCAGCTTGGAGATTCGGATATGGATTCCACTGCCACAACGATCTAGACGGGAGGTGGGGATGGTTAGGATATCATGCATAGCATTCAATGCTGAGCCCCTTCTTCCTCTCACTCGAAGTTGGTGAAACCCATTTGACATTACAGAAATCCAACAAACCTTAGCTGGGTGATGACAGATAGATTTCCCAATAGCCTCTCAAATAACTCCCGCAAAGGAATCTGGATCGGCAGTCAGCATCATCTTCATCATTCACCATGACCAACTCTCACGTGCCTGTAATAAAGTACTGCCTCCAACCAGCGCCGCACAAAATGTTGGAAACCTTTGTATCTCTAAACCCCCTTTCAAAATTCCAACTAATGAAGTCCAAAAATAGCCTTCACCATCGGGTCTTGGGTCAATATTCTTCCGATGTCGACTCAAGTGAACCAGAAAAAGAGTTAACAGTCTTGGTCCTGCACTCGATGCATAACCTAAGATGTAAGCTCGAAATAGCGGTCGTAATATTATGGGAATTGCTGTATCCAAACTTTGAGATGGCTTCCCCAATGGTAATTTTTGCATTTTGCAGTCAATAGTCTTTGGGCATCAAAATCTCTACCTGTGTAACTGTCCAAGATCAGCATCGCTATCCCAAGAAGCAGACACTAAATCTGCAATCGCCGTAAAGGAATCGACTATGTCGTCAGATGATGTAAACAAGGTTCAGAGAGAGCACAAATTAGAAGACATATGGTTAGCCTTGCGATGTCTTGTCAAAAGAGGTATTTACCGACATGACAAGGTGACATTACAACTGCATGTTACATGAATGCAGATGGGCCGACTCGATAATAATACATATGTAGAGGGGCTCGAGGGGGGAAATCATACCTAGCCAAATTGAATGAATTAACCCTATTGAGGAGGGTGTATACCCGTTTTAGGTATTTACCCCCGGAATGATGTTTTGATAAAAATGCGGAGGAAGATGGAGAAGGTAAAATCCCCGTGCCGCAGATGTTTTGACCTCGGCGCGAAAAGATTCAGGGAATTTGATGAAAGAACAACGAAAGACACAGGTACGGTAGTACTAGAGAATTAAAAATTCAGGGTACACAACAATTGTGAAGATGGGATGACTGATTGACAGGTTCAGTCGTGGTGATGATAAGATGTTGGGATATCTTGATTGTTTCACTGCAGGACTGAAGTGTGCAATTTGATGCATTCGTCGAATTGCTTGCCGGCTTGCTTGGGACCGAATTTGAAAGCTAGAATGAAGAACGCCACATTGAGAAATATGCAACGTGTATGTGAAGAAACAGTATTGATACCGAGATTGGAATTTGGGAAGCCGACACGGCTCAATACTTGATACCGGCTCGGAAATGGTCACGATTGAGATTGAAGTGGACCTAGGCATAGATTTTTGTTCGAGGGGGAGGGAGGAGGTGAAATCAGGATTTAATTCCTGCAAGTAACGATGATCAATTCGCAAACAGAGTCATGTTTGTTGTTCCAAAAGATGCCGAATGAGGGAAGGGGTCGTTGATGCAGGTACGATGATACGGAAAGTGGTGTTGAATTATCGATGCTGGTGGGTAGAGGTAGGGGGGAGTGATATGCGATGGGAGGTGTGAGATGTGAGATGAGGTACTGTAGAGTCGTCGACTGATGGTGATGAATAGGTCAGTGCTGAGTGTATAAAACTTGTGGGCTCAGAGGTGCTAGTGAACTATCTCGAGGTCGTCCTGTAAGACGGGATGAGATGTTCTTTCCTCCTTCCTCGATTCAGAATATTCAGAATGTAAATAGTAAATGTAAGTACCAGGTCGGTGCTAGGTCGATAGATCTTAATGAGAATGTCTCATACTCGCTCTTTAGCTTCTCACATCGAGGGTCACGCGTCTCTCTCATCGATTCACTTGTTCCTCCTCAATTTCCCCAGCTATGGATATTGAGACGAGATGGCCACTAGGTGACTCCTAGGTGACTTGTTATTTTCATCACACTTCACTTTGCACTTCACACTTCACACTTCATACTTTTCACACTTTTCACACCTCACTCACATTTTACATTCAATTAGACTGGGGCTCGCGATTCCTTGTCTTTTTCCTTTGCATGGACGGCACACGTACCGGTAATAATTACCACACACTACACTACCCAGGTACATATGTATCATGTACTGAGTAATGAGCGAGATCCATAAGGATTCTTTCATCACATCACATTACAACGGCCCCACATTATATTAGTGTACGTTGAAAAACGCCCGGGCGTACGATGGAGGTAGAAAGGAAGGAGGAAAAGAGAAAAGAGAAAAAAAAGACGGATTGTGCTAATTGACATGTGATTGTTCTATGACCCTTCTCTCCAATCAAGCGTCCGTACAATAATACAATCATGGTCCGACCTAGTCCTAGTGAAGTGCGATCCCAGGGAACGGCGGACGGCGGACGGCACGAATAACGGCATGAACATCCAAAAGATCATCAACACTAATAAGAACTAGAACACCAATTACATTATACATAGCAAGTCGAGCCTGGAATAGCTAGCTACGGAGTATGCGATAGCTATACGTACACAGTAACATTTGTCGAGTATTCCAGTCGTCCTAAATCTTCCGAAGGGTCAAGCTTCATTTGTCTTGTCTATTTACGATGCCCTGCTAGCTAGCCATCTATGTCTTTGCTATGCCTTGCCGTGCCATCCTACCCGTTGCTCATTCTCTCCTTGGCTTGGTTCGACTTGACTTGACTTGACTTCACTTCAACGGTAACAATCCCCTCCCTCACATTGAATCAGCTTGGCCCACATGGAAACTCTCGGAAACAAGATTCTGCTCCCAACTAGATATCAAATGTCAATTGTTCTCTCATCGGCCACTTTGAATATTTCAATCTCTCGTATTCAAAAGTTACTTACGAAGTAGAGATGTAAATACCTAGGTAAGTAGGTAGGGAGCTGTCGATACTTCGCTTCGTATTCTAACCTAGGAGGGGGAGAGAGAGAGATGTATATATATATATATATATATCCATGTTACCCTTAATTATAGTTGTATCGAAACCGAAGATATAAAAAGAACATCGAGTCGACAGTAAATAGCAGACAGCCGACAGCCGGCAGCCGGCAGCAGGTAGTAGACAGTAGACAGTAGACAGTAGACTTCTCAATCTAAAAGTTGCACTGCCCTTTTATAAACACATTTGCTCTCCTTGTCTTCTTTTGTCCTTGTCTCCTTACTCTCTCCCCTCTCCCCTCTCCCAAGGAAATTCAAGCCGAGAAAGCGAGATCTCTGCGTGGACCCTTTCTTTCCTTACCCCAAAGAGAAACCTTGAAAGGATTAGCCCCCCCGGAGCCCCCCTCATACCCTCATGCCCTCATACCTACCGACTAGGTACCCAAGCTTGCCATCAAAAAATTGACTATTGGTCTGTTCCCCACCATAAGGCCAATGAGGAAAGCTTTCCCAACACTCTTACTCTTGCTCTCACTCACACACTCTTCAAATATCTTTCTTTGATTCGGAATAATACTTTCATTCGTTCACTCAATTTAATGTCCCTCGAAACATTTATTCCTTCTTCCTTTCGAATAAGGATCATGGAGGAGTAATAAAAGTCTTGGACCTTTGTGAACTCACGTATGTGATTTTTTTCCGATTTCTCTCAAACAACCTGCATCCTATCTACGAGTAGTACCTTTCTGGAGGAAGTAAATGCTAGGTATCACACGGAATACATCATTGAGCTATCGGTCACACAGCTATCTAATAACGCCGAATCGCAAAAAAATCTATCATTTTGTACATATTTGATACGGGAATCCTCGATACTCAATGCTCAATACTTTCTATCCTCAATAAATTCCCTTGGGATCTCTTCTCACGAATCTTCTTTTTCATTTAATTTCTTTTTGGCACTCATGCTTGCAATTCAACGTCTTAATATGGGTTCGTCGAAGCCACCCGAACTTGATATGCCGTTTGGCTGTAAGTGTCTCTTTATATTCCTCAATATTTACCTGGTTACCAAATATACATACTAATACAATGGGTCAGACGCATTTGATTCAAATTCCACTTTTCCTTTCCCTTCACCTACAGCTCCAGCTCCAGGTCCGCCATTACTCGATGATAGCGAATCCACCCTTCTCGATACTTTCTTTGACGGAGTAAGCTCTGATCATTTTAATTACGACTTCTTCCCAAATACACAAGATGGAGGGGAGCTTGGAGGAGGGTGGGAAGAATTACCCCCGGCATTTATGGGAACGAGGGTTACTTTTGATCAACAACCTCAACTTTCGAATCCAATGTCCTTGAATTTTGGTGATAGGAATACCGGAATGCATCCACCACTATCTCAAGCATCTTTGTCACATTTGCCACCTTCGACTGAATCCGCAGATGTTTTAGCAGCGGCTACCGTGTTACAAAATGGATCAAATGCTCGATCGCATAGTTTAAGCAGTGAGACTTTGTTTGGAAATCATGGCCTACCATCGCATCCGGGAAATCATCACATCAGACCACAATCCATGCCGCATTATCCTACCCCAATATCAGGACTGGATAGACCTCGAGATGGATTCATGCGCGATACTTTATATACTGAAATGATGTTTGGACCGAATCATGCCGGCCCGGACTTGATGAGAAGACCAAAACCCGTTCCTCAAAAAGTCGACATAAGATGGGGTTCCGATGCGGGATTTGGATCACCACAAGGATTTGTTCCACCACCAAATGTAGCAAAAGTCGACGAAGCGGAACGACAAAGATTGCAGGCATTCGATGGATTTATCGGGGCAGCTCTATGTGCGGAAAGTAGTGCGGAAAATACGAGGCCGAATAGTCCGACAATGCAAAAGAATATACCACCGCAACGACGGCAAAGCTCGGGAGTTGTCAAGGAAGAAGACACGGAACCACCAAAGAAGCGACGGAAGAGTAAATTTAGTCCTGTTGAAGATGCGGGAGAAGATGATGAGGAACCGCAGCCTAAAGTGGACGGCAGGAAAAAGAGGAAATCCGTGGTGAAACTTGGTGGAAGTTCCCCAGGACCATCGGAAGCAGGTCACAAACGACGAAAATCTACTTCGGCTGCGGCGAAATCCACCCGAGAAAATTTAACAGAAGATCAAAAGAGAGAGAATCATATCAAGAGTGAACAAAAACGAAGGACTTTAATTCGAGAAGGATTTGAGGATTTAGGGGAATTAGTACCTGGGCTAAGAGGTGGTGGGTTCAGTAAGAGTGCAATCTTGGTAATGACGGCCGATTGGTTAGAGGAGTTAATGCAAGGAAATGAAGCTCTACGGAACAAGATCGATGCTGCGAAAGGCAGATAAGATTAACGGACGAGTCATTGATCACTGTTCTTGCGCATGATCATTCCCACAATAAAATCCTGGAGGGGAGCCATCAACATTCGGCAGTAAAATGTTCCGAATTCCTGGAGTGAAAATGGGAGAGGGCATGAAGTGTCCATGGAGTTTGGCGTTTGGTTCTATGGGCGGAATTCAGAGACCGTACGCAATGAGTAGCTTCCAGTCTCTCAAGCATACAGGGTTTGAGGCGAAATAAAGATACCACGTGGAAATGATGGACATATCATACCAGATCTGCAATCATCTGGTAGAAAAGGAAATGAATCTAATTGGTAGTAAGGACTACCTAGTTGGTTATCAATGAGGGAATAAGCACATACTGCACTGTAGCAGTATAGCAGTGAATTACAAAAATTCAGACCAGACTAAATTGGAGCTTAAACGTATACATTTCCATTGATTATGCTCTGTAAGGAGACTCAAGTGAAGCAGAGTGAAGCAGAGTTCACCTCTGACGTTTATAGCAAATTTGGTACTTTCGAGGTCCCATTTGCTGTATGTTCTATTTGCGAAACCCTGAATCGCATTAGAACAACTCGCGCCTTTTTCTTCCGGAAAGATGTCTCGCTCCCACTTGTCAAATCCAGTTTCCTGCTATCAGGTCAATCCCAGTATGCTCTTTCAAACTCAGCTTGTCGTCATGATCTTATCTTTGGCATTTGCATAAGAATACCAAGCCATCGCGATACACTCAAGGTCCTACATGGAGAACTCGGAAGAAATGTCAGATATCATTTGTAATGTAAGAGTAGCCTTGTTTTTCGTATGGGTGACGAAGAAGATATATTTCGCTATTGGGTGTTGATACTGGGCTGTTCACAGATTGATAGCGTATCGAGAGTTAATGGTAAGGGGCTAGGAGGATGGTATGATATATGATATATACTCTAAGGATGTGTCTGGACTCCGCCGATTGGGATCAAGAGAAATCTGAATGAGATCTTGTGGTATATTTTCCGAATCTCAGTTCTCGCATATGTATGCGTCGAATGTCATTGAGCAAGATGTTCCAGAGACTGTGATGCATTATCTTTATATGCATAGATAGTATACCGTGGTATTCTTAGGGCCCGCACGATATTGGGGGTTGAAAGTTGCACATGAGAGGATGACTTTTGTTTGCGTGTTTTCTGTGATGCTGTCCTCTCCCGAAAGAATATATATATTCTTCTTCTCGCTGTATCTCAGGACTTGCTCAGTTACCCCTTTTTTCCTGTCACGTCTTCCTCTGCGGTGGTAGTTGCGCGACGGGTCTTCTTGTTGTAAGATCTTACTCTCATTTTCAATCTGGAATTTCTTCTGGAATATTGCTATTGTCATTAGCGTGATATATATATGCACAGATCATGGCTATTTTCCCGTTTAGTTGCAGTTGCAGGTCTAATCTCATAAGATTGCAATAGCAATGACAACTAAAGCTTGTCTTTGATGTCCAGACCAGAAAATTTATAGATATCAAGACCTCCCATCGTGAATTCCTCGAATCGGGAGACTGGAGAGAATTTTGAAAGATAGATTGTGCATCAAGCTCCTTCGCGAAAAATCGAATATGGTGAACTCGTTGAGAGCCAAAATACGTCTGGGTTATGAATGTCGTTTTAAACCTTTGATTGAAAGAATGAGACAAATAAATTGTACATCTAAGTTACACGCGCCATGCCGACTGTTTATAATCCCAGCCTTCCTAACATACAAACGGCTCGTCGAATGCGCAAACTTGACTAGAGTTTCCATTGGCCTGCGACTTTTGGAATTTTCAATTTATGCATCTAGCACTTGACAACCAACTTTGTGGATCATCATGTACTTCAACACTTTTCAGTCTCCTAGGTCTCAATTCCAAGCACATTAACATTATAGACCTTTCAGCCAAGGCTTTCAAACACCGTTGCATGTGTTTAACATAAGACAACTGTATTAACCAGAATTGAAAATCCGAGACAATTCGACCAGAATCGAAATGCAAAATTTCCGGATGAGAATCAAACTTTGCCCAAACCATTCAGATCTCTCGTCTACTTCAGAAGCAAGCAATGAGATGATGGACCTGCTTAAGATCCGAGGATTGTGATATGAGAACATAAGAGAGAGGTATCGCAAATCGTCAAGCCTAATAAGTAAATAAAGTCTCTGCAGTGATGGAAGCAGCGGAAACCCCCCAAGGAATAGTCACGTGTGTGCTATCACAAAATGAACAGTGAGGATATTGACTGTAAACTATTTCCATTCGCTCATAGCACGATCGAGCTACCTTCCCAACTATAGCTGTCTAAATGATTTTATGCGACCCGACCCCTTTCGGCACGTACTGAATAATTCGCCTATCGTATACTCGTATACCTAAATGAATAAACGTCACCTCACCACAATTATTGACTCCGCTTTATTCTCCTTACTAATCTTCACGCATCAACCAATCACATTCGAAGCTCCCCACTAACCCCTCCAAAGGCCGACTTATCAATATCGATATCCCGAAATACATTCACTCCTACTTCGAAAAACATTCTGCCTTCCTCCCTACCAAAATCTGCATTTGAAGTTCACCCACCGCAACCATGGTTCTCGTCCACATCGTTCTCTTTGAATTCAAACCCTCCACTCACAAAGATCAGATCGACGAAGTATGATTAACATTCCCTTCCCTCCCCCTCCCCCTTAACCCGCTAAGCCTACCCTACCCTACCCAAGTAACATGATTACACATCCCATCCATCCATCCATCCCACCCATCCCATCTCCTTTGAAAATCAACTAACGAAACGAAAAACAAAAGCTGTGCAAACATATGCTCTCTCTCTCATCCCTCTGCATACACCCAGAGTCCCACAAACCATATATTTTAGAATCTTCGGGGGGGAGGGATAATTCGCCAGAGGGCCATCAAGTAGTGTTACACCCTGCCTTTTATATCACTTCCCTTCCCTTCCCATCCCATCCCATCCCATCTCATTATTACAATCGCCGTTCGATATCTACGATTCCGCTCTTCTTCCCAACATCCTTTGTGTCACTCGTCTAATTGTCATAAGCCCCCCGTTCCATTCCATTCCATGCCATCTACTCTCCTTTCCTCGTTACCTCATCGCACTCCACGTTCCCCAACACCATCCAAGTATCACTTGACTAATACTCCTCCTCCAAGGGCGGTTTCTCTCATGGCTTTGTGTTTCATTTCGCATCCACTGCCGATCGAGATTATTATGTGAATGAAGACCCTGCACATCGAGAATTCGGCCAGAAAGCCGCAGGGATATTGCAGAATGTTAGAGTGGTGGATTATGAGATGGGTGCTTTCTAGAGAGCGGAGTTAGGGTTGTGGAAGTCGAGTGAGGGAATGGGTGGGATTGGGGTGTAGGGGATGATGGTAATGAAAACGTGATATGGATACCAATAATTTAAATGGAAGAATTGAGACAGAAGAGATGAATAGTACTAAAGACCATGAGAAGCGAAAAACATTTGACAAAAATTCATTACTGTCATGAAAATTTGTTTGCATTAAGTATCGGTATGCTGTACAACTATATGCAAAGTCTATCCTGCCTGTGAGGTATCGCTGTCCCTAATTGCCAATCCGAAAAAGTATGCCACCGGAGCGTGCTTGTACGCAGGCCGGTTCCCTCCAACGCCAACTAAACGCCATCCAATGCATGCCCATGCTTATGCCCATTATATCACAAATTCTAATACTGTCGTATCTATCGTATCATCAATCATAAACCCTTCGAAGCTCTCTTTTCTGCTTCTCGTGCTGCTGATTCGTCTTTTGTCATGAATGATTCACCGCATCCACAGGATTTGTCTGTGCATTGTTAGTCGGTGTACTCACTAAATGAGATGACATCGAATGAAAGATAGAGTGGAACTTACCGATATTTGGATTATCGAAAACGAACTTTGCGCTTAGTCTATCCTCGACCCAGTCCATCGTGCTACCAATAATCTTGAGCTGTGCGGTTGGATCAATGAGAACTTTGACGCCATCCTGCTCATGAACGATATCGCTGAGGGCACCTTTCTCAACATATTTCAAGTCATATGCCGAACCACTACATCCCCGGTTTGCGACACTAATCTTGATGAGTTTCGCTTCAGGCTGGTTGCTCAGATCGCGCAAGACTTCGACGGCTCGTGGGGTTAGGGTGATAGTTTTCTTAAGAGGAACAAAGTTGAACTGTCGCCTCTTCTTTACAGGCTTTGACTTTTGGGCTTCCCCTTCAGTGACAGCGATCGATGGTGGCCGAGTATCGTGAACTTGTGGAATGCCTCCGGTGATGGACGTTTCCGGAAGAGCGGCTTCACGGGCTGACGGTGGTGGCGGAGGGGTAGAGAGAGTATATGTTTGCCAGGTACTAGTTTGCATCTTGCGTTTTGCCTCCGCGCCTGCGATGCGGGAAGATGAGAATTGACGAATGATGTGTGAACATTGTCGTAGAGGGGCCGATGGTTGTGATGAGGCAAATCTGAAAATGATAGGCGCTGATGATGTCAGAGGAGCAACCGCTCTTTGTAAAGACATCTTGAAGGTCGGTCTGACTGTCGATATATTGAAGTCAATGTATGAGGCTGAAGGATGATCTATTGAGGGATTTGAGGTGTTATGTTAAGGGTTGTTAATCACATTTGTAGTATTCTTAGAATCCTTCAAGTTCCTACCTAGCCTGTTCTTAGAAATCATGGGCTCACACAAAGTTCAGTTCGGCTCAGGTCGGAGTCGGATCATAGTTTTGCCGAACCAATGGTAATGGATCTATTGTAAGCAATTCAAAGACAGTACAGATGAATCACAAATGATGCACATTCATATGATATGGCCAAGATTCACTGAAGCTGACCAAAGCAAGAACGGTTTGAGATATTGGGAGGAAAATGAGACTTTTACCAGAACATCTGATAAATCTCAAGGAAGGAGGGTCCTTTACTCAAAAACCAGGTCTTCTCAAAGAAAGTCTGAACGTCCAATCAGAAACCACAAAGTTTATCGGAAGTGCACTATACCCCTTGATGATTAGTGCTACACACTTATCGGCCGCCGGCTAAGGAAGCTACCACATAACCCATAACCCATTCCTAAATCTGGGGCTTTTTGACTACGTAAGGAGGTAAGGCCAGAGCACATCCATAATAAATTTAATTAAAGATATTCCATCATTTGCGACATAAGGAAAAATATCCTCGAACCATTCATATTCTATAGTCTCTCCTTTCCCCCCCTTTGAATTGAGGATATATCAATTGCTGCCATGAAGTATGGAGCCATCTCCTCTTACTCAACAAGCTCGCCCTGAAGTATTCAAACAAAAGATTGTAGAGTTGTACGAGGCTCTATTCAAGGTGGGTTCGGACTGAGGTTCCGCATTTCATATAGTGCTGTGTCGCATTATGCTCATACTGATGAACAAATAGGATGAAGACGACCCTGATAAATCGGAAGGCTTTTGGAAGGAGTTCTTCTTGTTGCGACCGAACAAAGCCACATTGCAAACTATTCTAAATCAATTTAGTGCGGACGATTTGCTGCATCTTCAGGTATGAGGGAACCTGGGGAAACACGTATGAGCCACTGCTGATTAGGGTAGATACAAACTAGACAACTCTTTTCGAGGGCAGTAGGATGTATAAAGGCGGGAAATCATCCAGCAGATGCACATGCGCTTGATGTATGATAATGCCCCTTGGTTTGTTTGACAAGGCTGACAATTTCAGACCATTACAGCCTTTTTAGCAGCAGTCCTATCAAAGAAATACACAAACCCAAGTTCGGATATAATAAGTATTCTCGCAGGGTTAGATCATGTAGATGCGGTATTTACAGATTTTGTTGCAGCATTAGATGTCACAATTCGGACAGGGAGGAATTGTAGGTACACCATTCAGAAACAGGGGAGGATATCACTGACAATCGTTACCCAGTGGATATACGTCGCAAAGCTATTGAAGCAGCATTATCAGTGACTTCAGGCGCATACCAAACCAGTTTACTTTCCTATTTCACGCATCGGGATCTTTTCCCTTCTCTTATGAAAGTATGATCTCCCTTTCCGCGCATCCCAACCAAACTGACGTCTGTAGTTTATTCAAGATTCCGATACCACTTCACTCATATTCGAACCATTCACTCTTCTAGGACTCTTAGTTAATTACAACAAATTCGAATTCCAAAACCCTTACAGATTACGACTTGATGATTTCGTTAATGAAGGAACTATACAAAAGATAATTCGCTCGGTGGGCCATACATGTACGACATCCAGGGCTAAATATATTGCGATTCAAGATGATATACCGGAGGTATGGTCAATTGGGAGTACCTTGAGTATGATAGGGTTGGGAGCAATTGCTCCGGGTTCTAAACCAGCGACTCCAGCACTTGATCCAGATGCTGCAAAGGAAATGTTCTCAAAATTGTAGGTTGAGGCGGAGCTTATGTTGAATCACACTAACAGCTTCATAGACCTGGCAGCGAAGCAGCTGTTTTATTAGCTACGTACGACTTTGCGCACGCGAACAAGCTATTTTGCTTTAATTTGGTATCGATACCCGTGGAGAAAGGAGTCGAACACCCCCTTAGTGCCTATCTATCATATACCTCATACATACTTCAACATGCGCATCTATCCTCTCGAACCGGTTTTTATGCGCGTACCAACCTTATCGTTCTCCGAATATTGATCGAAGATCAAGTGCTATGCAAAAAGATATGTAGCGAGGAAAGCAAAATGCCCGTCCGGTTATGTCGACAAAGACAGCCATTCCTACCTTTGGTTCGCGCCGATAGAATATTCGCCGCTTATATGCTGGATGTTGCAATTGATGGTATAAATCATAACCTTCGAAAGAGACTAGATGTGGATCTCTACATTCTATGTGTGGGAATCATCTTACGAATCATCTCACACCTTTCACGATCTCGAACACGCCTCACGTACCACTGGTCTGAACTATTCCGATCCCTACTTGCACTCGTGAGATTCCTTACCACTTATACAACGGACTTAAAGAATCTCCTAAACATCGAAATACTTCTTGATGACGTGGTCAACCTCATTGCGTTATCATTATCCGCCGGAGAAGCATTCCTGCCCAGTCCTGCGGCATACGACGACCTGTTTTATAAATTGGTAGAAACTGGGGAGGTACTGGTGAAATTTCGAGATAATTACAATCTTGGGAAACGACCGAAGAGTTCAATAGATACATTGATCAGTGTCACTACGCACTATAATCAATTACTTACGGATGGATCAACTGGAAAGAGGAAACATCTTACAAGTGTACAAGTTGCGGGGGTCATCAAGCAAGGATACGAAACGCTGAGCATTCAAGCCAAAGAGGGACTGGATGGGTGGGAAAGATATAGAGAAGCGGATGAGAAGACGTTCTTGAAGAAGATGGCTAGGACTGCTGTGGCAGATGTCAAAGTTCTTGTTAGTGAAATTTAATCTTGATGGAAGAAGAGACCGCGGATTGTATATTAATTCAACGATTTACCTTGTGTATACCCATGTACTTCTAATTGTAAAAACCTTAGTGGAATGATACCTTCAATTAAACTTTCTGACCACCCAAACTCAGACCTGCCCCATAACAGGCATGCATATGTATAACATGCGACGCAGCTGACTGTATCTTTTCATGATCTTTCTAGACGCCCAATGCCGTGGTGGATAGTATGAATAGGTCAAACCAATCCACAATTTATGGCACAGCGCTAAACGAGGGGGCACCTCAAACCAATGAGATCTCATGATGAGGTTCAAAGATGGAAACATGGTGAATTGATTGGTTAATTTGACTTGTGAGGGTTTCTTGCATCGGTACTCGTATTCATGGTAAGTTGAAATACCCGACGTCTATTACTACCTACTGGGAAGTATATTACAACTATACTCTACTCAGTTGTGTAACAATCAAGTGGTTGGATGTTACTGGGCTTATTGACTACCGGTGGGGTTTCATGCAATATTGTTCTAGCGTCTCCAGGCTAAAAAGGAAGGGTCACGAGTTCTGATTTGTCGCTTTGGACAACCCTTCCGTTTATCTTTTTGTCTTCACTGGATCTCGTTGCATCTTTGGAGATTTTGAAGACTCAGCTAAATATATTCATCATATGCACTGTATGAAGAGGTTTGAGGATGCGAGAGATACGAGAGATACGAAAGAAACGAAAGAAAGAGGCCTTTGCTGTGGTCTTAGGATCCTCTCTTAATGATGTCTCTGATTTACTTTGGACTTCAGGTTAATGTGGTCATTGGGTGGCTGAGTTTCTAGCCAGCAAAGTCGTGACTTCACACGATA